TTTTTTTTTTTTTTTTTTTTTTCCACCAATTAATTAATGCCACTTTCCTCTTCTCTCCCTCCCTCCTATTTACCAAAATACCCTCTATTTTTAGATAGTCGGATTGAATTTTTTATAAAAATTATTTTAAAAAATTTATTTATCTACCATAAGTATACATTAATCATTAAAATCTCAAACATTCACAAGTTACATTACACTACTAACGTTGGTTACAAATTTCAAATATTATTAATTTTCATAATAATTTTAGAAGTAGCATATGATTGGATTGAGTTTACGCACCCGACCAAAAAAAAATGTAACCCATGAAGTAGTTAAATTAAATACTAAGTCCAACTATAAAACTAAAGGATGATTTAATAATTTATTTAAGAAATAGGATAATTTTTAATGAAATGAAATAAAAATAGAAATGAATTGGGATTTGGAAACAGTGGATGTGGGGCGGTTGCCTGATGATGGACAAAACTAGTGGATTCTTTTATTTATTTAATTATTTAATTTTAAAAAAAAAAGAAAAAAAAAAGCAGAATTACTTTTCATCATCAGGAAGGCCTTACAAAAATAAATTGTAGATTATACTCGAAGATAAATGCTTTGTATTTTAGTGCTTCCATTATTAAAATCTTTGCCTCTTTTTATCCATTTTTTAAGCTGTTTAAAATTGAAATGAGCAATATTTAATCTTTGCTCAAGCAAAATTGTAAAAAGGAAAAATTAAATTAGAGAGAGAGAGCAAGAAATGTGTCGACATAAGAACAGCTCAACAGCTTCTGCTCTCTATTCTCTCTAAAATGGCCTTTGTCTCTCTTCGCATTAACCACTTTTGGCTCTCTCTCAATCGCTCATAGCTGTGCAAACATATATTCCACTCCGCACCCCTTTTTCTTTCTCTCTTTCTCTCAATTACACCCATGAATTTCTCTCCAATGGAGCTTCTATTTGCTTGTTTTCTCTGTTTTTTCTCGCTTTTTGTTTCTGGGTTTCGACCAGACTTTCCATTACTCGACTTTGAAGAAGGCTATAACCCTTTGTTTGGCGATGACAATCTCGTTGTTCTCAAGGATGGGAAATCCGTTCATCTTCATCTCGATGAAAGAACGGGTGAGTAAGGGATGCTTTTCTTTAATGGGGTTTCCATGGATTTGGAGTTTGATTGATTCTTCTCTCTGTTTGCCTTTTCAGGTTCTGGGTTTGTGTCTCAGGACCTTTATCTTCATGGGTTTTTCAGCGCTTCCATTAAGTTGCCTTCTGATTACACTGCTGGAGTTGTTGTTGCCTTTTATGTGAGTTTCATCCTTCTCTGATTTTATGTTCTTCTGAGATTAATCTAATCCGTGGTTTATGAGTTCTTTATTTGAGTTATGAAGTGAAATCCATGTTCTTGGCACATGGGTTTTAGTTATTGAAGCTGTTTGATGAACTTGGATGAACAAACAAGGGGAAATATTGATTGGGGTTTGTGATTTTCAGATGTCAAATGGAGACATGTTTGCCAAGAACCATGATGAGATAGATTTTGAGTTCTTGGGGAATATCAGAGGCAAAGATTGGAGAATTCAAACCAATATTTATGGGAATGGAAGCACGAGCATAGGCAGAGAAGAAAGATATGGACTCTGGTTTGATCCATCAGAGGATTTTCATGAATACACCATTCTCTGGACTCAATCTCTCATCATGTAAGTGTTCTTAAAAACCATATTAATGAAATCCTTGTTGTTCATGTTCTGTTTAGGGACTTTGATGTGATGTCTCTGTATTTGGTACACTATTTAGAGCTCCCCCTTTTAAAGAGAGGAAATTTGGTGTGGTTTTTGGATGTTTTCCCCTTAGAACTCAGCCCCTTGTTTTGTGAAAACCATCTTTCTCTGTTCTAACAGAGAAAGGGCTGTTTAGTTTTCCTGTGAAAGAAGAGAAGAACCAAAAAAAAATTGCCATTTGTGAAGATTACTAGAGAAACATGTGATTGATTGGACGTAGGAGGGTGTGCTGTTGACTGATGTAGTACAAATTTTCTTGGGAGACTGTAGTCGCCCAAACTCACCGCTAGTAGATATTGAGCTTCCTCTTAAGATTCTAAAACACGGTAGGGAGAGGTTTTTACACGCTTATAAAGAATGCTTCATTCTCCTCTCCAATCGATGTGAGATCTCACAATCTACTCCTCTTGGGAGTCAGCGTCCTTGCTAGCACACCGTTCGGTGACTGACTCTAATACCATTTGTAACAGCTCAAGTCCACCACTAGCAGATATTGTCCTCTTTCAGCTTTCTTGGGAACCCGGCGTCCTTGCTGGCACACCACTCGGTGATTGGCTCTGATACCATTTGTAACAGCTCAAGCTCACCGCTAACTCATATTGTCGTCTTTGAGCTTTCTCTTTTGAACTTTCCCTCAAGGTTTTAAAACGCGTTTGTTAGGTAGAAATTTTCACACCCTTACAAAGAATGTTTCTTGTCTGATAGGAGAGATCATTTAGGGATTCATGATCATGAATGATGGGATTTTCACTGTTGATGTTATGTCTGATGCAGATTTTATGTGGACAATGTTCCCATTAGAGAGGCGAAGAGAACAGCAACAATGGGAGGGGACTTCCCTTCTAAACCAATGACTTTGTATGCCACAATATGGGATGGATCTACTTGGGCTACCAATGGTGGCAAATACAAAGTTAACTACAAATACGCGCCTTACATTGCCGAATTCTCTGATTTCATCCTCCACGGCTGCGCTATCGATCCAACTGACCAGTCCTCAAGCTGTGATCACTCCCAAAACTCCAACCCAATCCCTTCAGGTATAACACCATCTCAAAGAGCCAAAATGGAGAGCCTCAGAAAGAAGCACTTGACATACTCCTATTGCTACGACCGCATCCGCTACAAGGCCCCTCCACCGGAGTGTGTGATCAACCCTGCAGAGGCTGAACGACTCCGAGTCTTCGACCCTGTAACATTCGGTAAAGGAAGACGCCATCGTGGGAAAATCCACCACCACAGCCTCCTAAACCAGGCAGAATCCACCGCCTCTGCTTGAGACATGGCATATTCTTTCGTGGGGGTCATTTTCTCGTGTATAGACGACGACCGAGGTCAGTCGATAGATTTGTTGAAGGTGCCATAGGAGGAGATCCACATTGAAGAGCATCTGTATAGTTCATTTATTTTGTTTTCATTGTCACTTCACAGTTTCATTACATTCTTGGTTTTCTGATTACCACATTCAGTAGTTGCAGTGTTAATGGATTGTTTTGAATTTGATATGAAACCCTCATAAATTTGAATAAAAAAAGTTCAGGATTTCAGGTTTTGTTTGTTGGTAGCCATTGTTGTTAAGTTTGAAGGTTTTATTCTATGGAATTCCAGTGAGAAAGACAGGGACAGAGGCAAGTTGCGAGGACTTTAAGGTGAAACTGTCCAAATGAAAACATTATAGAATTTGTTTTGTAGGGAAAGAAAGTGAAAGAGTTTTGTGTCAAGTTGGTTGCAGAGAGACTTCTTTTGGTTTTTTGTTTTCAAAATTCAAAGTTTCCATTGGAATCCAAAGTACATAATTTCGCCCGCTATCGGTCTTAGATCAAAATTCGGCTCCTCGTTCAATTCTTTCGAAGTCATTGATCCTTTTCTCGTTCGAGAAGTTCTTCAGATGGAGACATACTGAAAACCATGCCTTTCGAACGCAACACCCTTCTTTCAAACACTGTAAACTCGGATACGAAAAGGTTTTCGGTTTCTTCTTCTTTTCTACCTAAGGGCATCAGATCGAGGAATCCTTGATTCTAATTTTCAGTATGAGTACTGCGCACTGCGACCACGGCGAAGACTCCCTTCTTTCCAAGCGACGCCTTCAAACAAATACGGAAGAATCATCATATTGAAAACATTACTAACCCACAAATGACTGTCTGTTTGAAACTTAAAGACTATAGTGTAATATTAAAATTTGCATTTTTAAAAATGATGTGAGTAGAAGATTATATATATATTTGTTTCTAAACTTTAAAATAAATATTTTTTTAAAAATAATAATAAATGGAAAAAAATTAACTGCAGTGAACCCTATTCCCGCAAATTTTTTGGCACGGAATCCCTACCTCGATTCTCGCAAAAATAAATGGAAAATTTTGTGGGAATGGGGACGGAGAAGACATGCATCGTCCCGTAGGCATCTCTAATATGTCCCGACTATGACAATTGAATAAGTATAAAAACTTTATAATTAGTTGTGTGGGATTAGGTTGAGAAAAGCATAGGAATGGTATCTCTGTGCGTTTGTTTTGGTGCTGTTTTCAATGTTACCAAAACCCCATTTTCAGGAATCTTCACCAAACTCACCTACCTTCATTTTTTTCCCTTAATTTTATGAATTATATTTCTTTTATTACAACATTTTTCAAACTATGAATCTGTATTCTAAACACCCATGTGCTTTGGAGAATCTACAAATCATAACCTTATGTTATAAATCTTAATACTTATTTTTAATTACGATATGCCAAGTTGTGTACATGGGAGTCGATCATTCATGAGTTGTTTGTAATTATAAATTGGTCAAAAATTCGTTTCACCTTGTACGTACACTTTTCACCTTAAGTACTACTAATTTTCTAATGAACAATTTTTTTATGATCCAACCATAAATTAAGTCTCTCTTGGATTAGGGAGAGGCTGGGGTGAGACTCCATTGTTCATGTCTTGAAATTAAGAGTTCCGCTGCCCATTTACTTTCCTTCCTTGCATGAGAAAGAATGAATTCCATCTTACACGATTATGTTCCAGCTCCTTATTTGGTCAAATCTGCAATTTGGTAGGCATATTGAACGGGTTATAAAAGTAATTATCAGCCATACAAATCAAAAAACAAGGCTTCATCACTCACTCAGGATTAATATTTAATCACATACAATTATCGGGTGAAATAATAATCTTCTCAATAAACGATTTAGATCAAATCATATGCCATTTGGAACAATTACAATGGATCGTACCAATAGTGTCATCATCTTCCTTTGGATAAAACACCCAACCTTATATATATACTATACACATTTTAGGTTTTAGGTTATTACTTGAACATAATGTGTCGCCTGGTGAGTTTGCTACAAGATGGTACAATAACATTTGTAGAACAACAAAAGACAATGAATTAGAGTCTCACCTGAATAGTCTCAACATAAAAACTCAGGACGTATTAACTAAGGATCGAATCAGCCCGACCAAACTTGATTGCATTAATAAAAATGAAAACCCACGTCCTTCTTCCTAGTTCCAATAGCTCTTGTCTGCCATTAATCCAGTGAGTCCTCAATCTGGTGAAAGAAAAGCAAGCAATGAATAAAGGAAAGCTAGGATGGCACGATTTTTAAGGCCACGAAAAATCGGACTGTAACGAAAAGAAGAAAATAAAATAAAAGGAGGATCTACTTACTCAATTAAAGCTTCTAAATTCGGTCCTTCAATTTTGTGTGATTTTTGGATGTTTTGTTTGAAATTTCAAGTTTCTTTTCAATTGTTAGTAGATTGCCTTTCCTTCAATTTTGTTGGGATGTTTTGTTGTGTTTTTCTCGTACTACCATTATTAGAGTTCTTTTTTTTTTAACCAATTATGGTTCTACATTTTCAATCACACACTCTGTGCGTGTTCAATCATCGTTTCTACACTAGGTCAAGTTATTCGACTCGACCTTTCCTCTATTCAGGGCCAATGTCTCTCATCCCATCATCTCATCTTGATTCCCAATTAACATGATCCATATGCCTTGAGGTCATCCCAAGTTGCAGGATGTCATTGCCATCACAGCTCACTTGGTTATGCCATCGAGAACGGGCACATGTGTCGTTCATAATATCGGGACATCCCAAGCATCTATCCATCCAGGCTCTATCGAGGTATTTGACCCTCCCGTGTCCATGTCATATCGTTTACAAACTCTGTACTGGATAGCAGGTGTATGATCCGACCTTCGACACATGGGTTGAGACGCAATACTAGCATAGCTGTGCCCTCGGTACTGTCCTTGAAAAATTCATTTCAAAGGAAGTCATTCGAGATACTCGGCTCAAAATGTCTACCCTCACTATGACACACATATGTTTCATAGGATAGCTCACTTAGGCCACAGGACTTAGGGGAAGGTGGAGAGTTGACATCGTGTCTCCCTTGATGCATTTTCAATCTTTCTCGTGTAGACGTCATTTTGGCGAACAGTCATATGGTGTCATGGAGCGTATGTCTGGTGTCCGATTGACACTAAAATTGGCAAGCATTCATATTTCATATGGATGGATTTGACTTTAGAATCGCATGCCCAAATTCCCTTCGGAATCTTGATTTTAGAGGTTAAGGCCTGAAGCCCTACCTGGCGCTTCAACAAGCCTATCGTGACACTCATATCTACTCATTGCCCCTATCTTGCTTATGTCTCGTTTCCTCTTCAATGTACACACTCTATAATGTGTTGGATGATACACTGTCCTCCTCAGTTGTATCATGACATTCTTTTATATTGACCATCGTGTGGGCTTATAGGTGCCACTTGAGGGTCGCCACTTTGCTTGTCTCGACGTGAGGGCCACAATCAAATCTCTTCATAATATGGTTATGACATTCTCCTCCACTTAAATTAGTCATTGTCTTTGATGGCTTGCTCGGGACACAATTCCATCGCGGATTGGGACGTTCTCCCCACTTAATCTCGGGATTGTCCTCATGACAATCCACACTTTGGATTGTTGTCCTACTGTAACTAATCGTGCTTCAAAAAAGTATAAATTTACTAAGCACTTAACTTCTCTTTTGTCATAATACTTATCTTATTGACGCCTCATGGTCAGCTTGAGGACAAGTTCGAGTTGATGCTTCTGACTCCTCTTTATCATATGGTACCACTTTCTGACTCTCTCTCGTCTGTCGTTGGGTGAACTTGCCCCAACTTAACTTTAACACTTCTCTTGGCCAATCTGCATACTCTCTGAACGGCACATGACAGTACACCTCGCGGGATGTGGCTCGCAAGTCAACCACAACATTCCTCTCTTGATTGGTAGTGTCATTGTTTCTGACAAATAGTTGTGTTCAACATACCATCCTCAAGAAAGCCGCTTCACTACCACTTAATTCACTTGCTTTGTCATCGAGAGCAGACCGTTCATATCTAGGTTCGTTGGCTTATCGTGGGGGAGAACTTTTTATACGGCGTTTTATTCATAAACTAAAAGTAGGATTTTAAAAAACAACTAAAAAAATTGAAAATCATTTGGATAATTATGAACGTTTATTTATATGGATTAAGGTCAAAGTGTGGAGAATAGATTTATGAACATGATTTTCCAAGATGCTCAGAGTATTTATATTTTTTAATAAAAAATCCAAAATTCAGCCAACTAATTAGTTAATTAAATGATTTTAAAATGAAAGCAATATTTTTATTTAAATAATAAATGAGTGGAGAGAAAGATATGTCACTTTCCCCATTTGCATTCATTTATTAACAAAATCCAAACATTATATCCCATTGGTGATTTCAACAAATTGGCCATCAAATTTTTATAAAAATTCACAAGTGGGTTTTATTATTATTATTTTTTTTTTCCAAAAAAGATTTTGAGGCCACAAATGTTAGGTTGGATACTGTTCCCATGTCACCATACTTCATGTTCCATGACACAACAAAATAATTTTAAATTAAATTAATCAAATCTCTTTTTAATTAATCAACTTGGATTTTCCTCAATATTTTTTTAATTAATTGTATTAAAATATTTTCTTTACTTGGGATAATTCAATTTTCCTTTTAATATAAACAAATTACTTGTGGGTGAGTTTTAAGAAGAGAGCTTTATTGTATTTTTAAACGTAAGCAAAAAGGGACCACGAATTATTAAAATTAAGTGCTTCTAGCAATATCGAGTGAATAGTGACACAAATTCCTTTTTAATTATAATCAGTGGCAACACGGATACATGTAAAACCTCTCAAACTAAGTTTTAGAAATTTTAAATCCAAATCCTAAATGGGTCCAAGTATGAGTGTTTAAAAAATTTGATGATCCAAAAAATTCAACTAACCTGATTTAATCCATACAGTTTAGGTTTAGGGTTGGGTTGATTCCGTTCACAATTGGGATGTATCGTGAAATTTTAAGAAAATATTTATTATTAATTTAAAATTTTAATAAATATACATATATTTATTTTAATTTTATAATTATTTTTTTATTAGTCACTCCAACAACCCTTCAAGATAAATTTTTAATTCTTTTATAATATATCTTTTCAAGGTTTATAAATAAATAGATGTTTTATATATTAATCTTTCAATTTTATTAAAAATAAAATTTTAAATAAATGCCCGAATAATCCAAATCAAATCAATCTAGATATTGTATGATTAGATTAGATGAAGTTTGTTATTTAATAAAATTTGCTTAGATTAAAAAAAATTATAACTCTGGACAATTATATTGAATCTAAAAAATATATCAGCTCGAACAATTCAACCAGTGAACCCTCCTAGCTATAAAAGACTTTTTATAAGGATTGAGTTAGAGAGGAATTAAATTTGAATTATAGTCTAAAAAAAAAATTGGTTCGTAAATAGAATCATATTTCAATAGTTACACTTTTTATTTAATATTGAAAAAAAAAGAAACGATTTGACAGATCTCTACATCACAAGAATCTTAGATCTGACGTGTGCGTACATGATCAACAATGTCTTGACTAAGTAATAAGTCAAATTAGATTTCCTCAAACAAACGATAAACGATAAAAATAAGTCATTTTGAATAATAGTTCGAAACAATTTGGCGAATCTCTAACCTAAAGATCTGACTCGTTAGAGAATGTATAGGGTTATGATAATGTTTTATGTTACCAATAAAGTCACTTTTTCTATAAACTCAATCACACAATATTTTATGTTCTTAAAAAATATTGGGATTTGAGAAGCAAACCAAGATTTTCATCCTTTATTGTCTTCCGATTTACTCCATTTTGGTTGTGATTTTCAGTTGAGTTGGTTTCCTTTTCTAAAACATGATGTTTAAGAATCAGACCTTAAAACTCAAAACTCAGCGATAATCGAGACAAACTCGAGCGTAACTGCTGCGAAATTACCTCGAGTTTTCTTCGACAACTTCTTGACCAAAATGGTGGATGCAAGTACTTGATCTTCTTCTTTTGAGTCCAGTGAACGAGTTTGTGAGACTTGCCGATTGGTCTGGTCTCAGGGTCATCGGATCTTGTGGTGTTCTTTCCCTCTTTTCTTCCTTCTCCCACTTCTTCATATCTCTTTTTTCTAGGTTCATCCAAGTGTCCAAAGCTCTTAAATTCTCAATACAATTCTAAGAGCTCAAAATTAAAATATTACATTAAAGAAAGATTTTCCATATACAATATTTTATGCTTTTAAAAAATATAGGGATGAGAAGGAAACCAAGATTTTCATCCTTCTATACAATAATAAAAATTCATTATATACTAAAAAAAACAAATAATGTAGTTATATTATAAATAATTGTAAACAACTCCATGTTCTTCAAATTTTGATTGTGAAAGTAATATTAATGAAATTGAATGTATGCTTAATTGGACCCTCCCATCCCATCCCATCCCCCACTTGCACTTAAATCAATTTCTAATGTTTCACCAACGTCATCGTTTTGATCTCTTTTGTAACTCTTCTTTACATTATTATTCTTCTCCACAATCCCATCATCAACACAACAATCCCATCATCAACACAACAATCCCATCATCAACATTGCATCTCATCACCAACAATCCATGGGTGGGAATCATGGAGAAGTACTCATCTTTTCTCTCTCTTTCATTTGGGTTTGAATCAGTTGTTGTAGTGATTCTTTGTTTGCTTTTGTTTTTAGGTGATTTGGCCAACATTGGTTGCTAATAAGATCTTGAAGAAGAGATTAGGAAGCCATAACTTTGTGGCTGATACTCCAACCAACAACACCATTCCACTATATGCTCAATCTTCTTCACTCACAAATGCCTTCTACAACCCTAAACCCATCCAAACCTACAAGTAATGATCTTTAAGAACATATGCGGCCTCTTTTGTTTCACCTTCAAACTTATCATCTCTTTCTCTTTTGTGTTTTTGTTAGGGTTTTTGTTAGTACATGGAATGTTGGAGGTGTTGCACCAAATCAAGATTTGGACATGGAGGATTGGGTGGACAGTTCTTGTGATATCTATGTTTTTGGGTACTTCTTATATAAGCATGCCAATATTGTTTCTGTCTCCGTGTCTTTTATATATGTGAGATCTCACATCGATTGGAGATGAGAACGAAGCATTCTTTATAAGGGTGTAGAAATCTCTCCCTAGTAGACGCGATTTAAAAACTTTGAGAGGAAAGCTCGAAAAGTGAAAGCCCAAAGAGGACAGTGTCTACTAGCGGTGGGATCGTGAGCGGTTACAATTTCAATTATCATTCTCGCAAAATTCTCTCTTTTTATATATATATATTTATATTTATTTATGTATTCAGTGTAACGGCTCAGACCCACTGCTAACAGATATTGTCTTTTTTGGGCTTTCTCTTTCGGACTCCCCCTCAAGTCTTTAAAACGCGTCTTCTAGATGAAGTTTCCACACCCTTATAAGGAGTGTTTTGTTCTCCTCCCCAACTAACGTGGGACATGACAATCCACCCCCTTTGGGGCCAGCGTCCTTACTGGCACACCGCCTCATGTCTATCCCCTTCGGGGAACAACGAGAATGCTGGCACATCGTTCGGTGTCTGCTCTAATACCATTTGTAACAGCCAAGTCCACCTCTCTTTGAAAGGGAAAGCCCAAAGAGGACAATATCTGCTAGCGGTGGATCTGGGTCGTTACAGTCAGGAACGGAGACAGGGAGGGGGACAGGGATTGAGGATATAATCTCCATCCCTAGCCCTGTTTAGCTAATAGGGAGAAATTTCTCCTCTCTCATTCCTTGTTCAAACGGGGATTCCTCACCTCATTTGGGTGGATCCCCGTATGACCAGGAGCCCGTAAGTTAAATATATATCTTTATCCTTGATCACTGATGCAGATTCCAAGAAGTCGTGCCATTGAAAGCCTCGAATGTTTTTGGTTCGGAGAACAGAGAAATATGCGGAGGATGGAATAGAGTGATGAGAGAATGTTTGAAGAAGAAAGTGAAACAAAATTTCGAGTGTATCATAAGCAAGCAAATGGTTGGGATAATGATATCAATATGGGTTCGAAGTGATCTTCATCCATTCATTGGGTATCCAAGTGTGTGTTGCATTGGGTGTGGGATCATGAGCTGCCTCGGGAACAAGGTATTATTATACAACATATTTCAACATAATTTCTTGATCTCATAACTCAACAAAGCTTCATTCTTATGGGTTCAGGGATCGGTATCAGTAAGATTTGGGCTGCATGAAACAAGCTTTTGCTTTGTGTGCACTCACTTGGCATCAGGAGGAAAGGAAGGAGACGAGAAGAACAGAAATGAAAATGTTCGTGACATATTATGTCGCACTACCTTTCCCAACGGCCCTTCTCTTCATTTCCCCAAAAAAATACTTCATCATGAGTAAGCTCTATTCCCATTAACCTATTTTAGAAAATTAAAAAACTGCCTTTATTTCTAGTGTTAGGTTTAAAAATACCCTTAAAAATTTTAAAATAATATAACACCCGTTCAAAAAATATATTACTGTCAATACATGAATGATAACTCTCTATCAATCTCTCATAGATTATATTCAAACTTTTTAATGATACTCTTGGTGGGTATTTTTTAAACTCAGTGCTAATAGTACATGATATCTTTAAACTTTAAAAAAAAATTGAAAGGTGTTTTTGAAGTTTTTTTTTTTAAGATTAAGGATATTAATAAAACTTTTAAAAATTCAAGTGTATTTTTTAAATAAACTTTTAATGTTTTTCATCTAAAATTAATCTTCGTTTAAGAGTATAATTGAATCTTTTAAAAGTTTTTAATCCATTCTAAATTCAAACTTATTTTTTTATAAATTTAGGGTATATCATGCTATTACATAAATTGATTATAGTAATTAATGTATGGTTGTCCAATCAAGTAGTTAATTACTTGAAAAATGCATGATTAACTAACTACGAAAGCTAACCTAATTATAAATAAATAAATATATGGTCTACTCCATTATTTCTTAGTTGAAATTGTCTTTATTCCTTTGTATTTTTCTACAATTAAATATTATTATTTTAATCTACAAAAATATTTCTTCATATGTTTTTTGAATTCTTTGTATCCATATTTCTTTGTTTGAATTGGTAATTTAATACTGAGTTAACTTTAGTGGAAGAATTAAATATTAAAATAAACACAATTAAATCTATAATTAATTATGATTTAATCGATCTCTTTCTTTTAATAAAGCCGAGTGATATTGCTGGGAGACTTGAATTATAGAATTTCTTTACCCGAAGCAAGTATAAGATCGTTGGTTGAAAAAAAAGATTGGGACACACTATTACAAAACGATCAGGTAAAATTGGCTGCATAAATACATTTTTCCGATCTGAATATAGTTCATACTTTTAATTAAAAGGTCATATATTCAAATCTTCGTGTTCATAAATCTCGAGCTATTGAATATTATTGTTTTGTGCACGAGAAATGAAGCTGAAAATGGAGATGATGAATGGTAAAGTATTGGAAGGATGGGAAGAAGGGAACATAAAATTTGGGCCAACTTACAAATATTATCCAAATTCAGAGGCTTATTATGGAGGTGTTCATGGCCTAAAAGCTCAAAAAAGGAGGGCTCCTGCATGGTATTGACTTCCTTTTCTTTCTTCATTTCTTATGGCCTACCCTTTTCTAATTCTTGTTTTAAAATTTAGGTGCGACCGAATTATATGGAACGGGAAGGGAATTAAGCAAGTATCATACGATCGAGGAGAATCAATGTTGTCAGATCATAGACCTGTAATGGCCATGTTCATGATAGAAGTTGAATCATCGACGAACTTAAAAACTTTGAGGAGTTTGTTTCTATCAAACAGGTTTGAACATCTCAATAATTCTAATACCCCATTTGTTGAGGCGGATGAGGATGAAGACGGTGATGAGATATTTTCAACCGTCGGTTTTGTGTGCAAAACAAAATCGACTTTTGAAAGTCATTTTTAAAAATATTAACTTAAAAATTAGAGACATTAAGTCATCTAGATTGTCTACAGAAACAAAAAGTTTAGGACAAGATATTTCTAGTTGTTATATTTGTTAGTTTTTTTAGTTATTTTTTCAAGTTTCAAAATGGATTTTGTTTACTAATGTATCTCTGTAAAATTTTCTAGTTGAATTATGGTTCGGTTGACTTATTTATTTATTTATTTTTATTTATTTATTTATTTTTAGTTTTGAATGGAATAATTTATGACAATAAGTACAAATCATAGTTCTTTAGGCCGAATTTGATTTTTTATTTTTATTTGTTATATTTTCATCCTTTCTGTTCAATTGATTTCATCTTTTTAGAAAACATTTAAATGCTTAGTCAAATTTTAAAAATAAAACAAGTGTTTTTTTTTTTTGGGAACTATTTAAAAAAAAAAAAAAAAAAAA